GCTTTGCTCCCCGTCCCCCTGGTCTGCAGACCAGAAGGACGGGGAGCAAAGCGGCGGAACACGCGGGCAGCAGACAGCCCAGACGTGCGTTTTAAAATGGCTACCTATTAATTTCACTTGGTGACCTCTAATTCTTATATTATGGGAATAAGTGAATAACTTTTCCTTATTCACTTTATCCACACCTGTCATGATTTCATAGAGTTTTATCATATCCCCCCTTAGTCTCCTCTTTTCTAAGCTGAAAAGTCCCAGTCTTTTTTAACCTCTCCTCATATGGCACCCGTTCCAAACCCCCTTGTAGTAAGATGAAGGCCTAAAACAAAGCCCATGCAGCACAGGCCTGGATTGAGGCCCTAGACCTAGCTAACAGACGAAACATGGCTAACATAAAGCAAAGCTAAGCTATGAGCAAGAGGCAGGCCCCTGCTCACAGAACTTGGCACAAACAGGGCTGAGAGTGCAAAACACTAACTGGTGCTAGGTACCGACTACAGAACAATATTGGTCATAAGTGAAAAGCACATGGTACCACTCATTCATTAAAAAAGACCTTGGTACCCACTCCTCACAGATACAGACCCAGGCTCAGGAAAAGGTCTAAAATGACAGCATGATGGATAAAGATGATCTTATCAAACTACGAGGTACAGGGTGATGAGTGGTATCTAAGAAGCATCAGAGGGTGGTAACCTGACAACAGCAGAGGATGGCATCCTGATACATCAGCAGTGACATGTAAGTTGTTTGTACCTGTATATAAAGTGGTGTCTTGGGGGGACAGTGTATGACCTAGGGGGCAGTGGAAATTTCCCACTGATTGAGTCATTCCATTGTTACGGGATACAGAGTCTACTGACAACTATTACTATACTTCGCTTAATAATAAACCTGGCTTGGCACCTTCAAGCCTTATCTGGTTTGTGGTCTTGGGGGCTCTCATGGCATCTGCTTTGGAGACTTGGGGTATGACTATACTACAGAGTTTTGTCGGGAAAATGGCCGTTTTTCCAACAAAAGTTGAGGAACGTCCACACTGCAACTGTGTTTTTCCACATGAAAATAGAAAGAATAGAGGGGTTTTTCCAGCATTGGTAATCTTCATTCTACGAGGAAGAAGCCTTTTTGCAAAAGAGCTCTTTTGCAAATAGGTGTGTTTGGACGGGGAAGAGGGAGTTCTTTCAGAAGAAGAGGAAAGAGAAAAAAGCACAGGTGCCTTAATGGCCATTCCATCCATAGTAATCACAGCTTACATGTGAGAGAGTGCCTATTCAGTCTGGATGCTCTCTTTTGAAAAAGCAGATCGCTTTTTCGATGCACTTTTGCAGTGTGGATGCTCTCTTTCAGAAGAAGTTTTTTCAGAAGATCTCTTCCCAAAAAAGCTTCTTCCAAAAGAAGCTTGTAGCCTAGACATAGCCTAAGTGCACAAGTCGACACGGCACACATCATTGAGCACACACGCAAGTAGCCTTTTGTTATCATCATCAGTGGAGCTGGAGACCTGTGAGAACACCTCGGCAGTAAATCCACACACACATGGTACAAAATATGATCGTCCAGTCATTTGGAAATATACATATACTGTTCAGAGCTGTAACTTATACAAGGGTGTTATGGTGGCGACTCATCCAGGAAACACTCCCTTGTGTCAAGTCTGATGTAGCCTTGCATGCCACCTACTGGCCTGGTACACAACTGTGGATGCATCCTTGCCTCAGTTTTCCCTAGAAGGTTTTTAATTAGGCTTTTGTGTAACCACAATGCTCCCCTCAAGGGATACAGTTTACATAACCTAAGGCCAAAGGGGCATGTAAGCAGGGACTCTCCCTGAGCCCCTGCCAGGGAAGGGGACGGGAACCAAATTAATCTTTCTCTGTCTTCTTCTGAATCCATCCATCTCTATCCAGGTTCTTTTCCCATATGGCCCTCTTGAATAAGGCCCTCTTCCAGAGTCAGGCTTCTGACCATCACTTGGGGAAAGGTTCCCCTTCTGGACTCTCATTGCTCTTTTCTGGAGTGGTGTGCAGGTCTTCTGTTATCTGGACCACTTGCCAACATCTGGTAAGTTCCTTGCACGGGTGCTAGTTCTCGCTAGAGCTTGGCACTCACATCTCTCCTTCAGAACCTCTTCCCTCCAGAAGTATCTTTCCTAGGCTCCCTTTCCTGGTGAGATCCCTAACCAGCTGTGGGACCTCTTAACTGAGCCCTCATAACTCTTTATCAGGCCCAGGTGTTCCTTAGCTTTTTAACAGCTCCAACCCACCTTGGCAGTTAGCTACTCAAAGATGGATTGGAGGGACTCATTCTCCTTAGTGGAGCCTGTCACAGGTAGCTGGAGGCCTGACTGTGCTCAGAGGGCCAACTACCCAGTGAAAGGGGAGTTCTCATGTATGCTGGGGTAATAATCATTTAAGAGCATTAGAATGCATCATGTTTAAATATACTTTAGAAAAGTATATTTTACTACAACCCATCTGAGCTGGTTTATCACGAATAAGCACTAAGATATCTGTGGGTAACAGCTTTCTTTATAATCAAACTACTGTCCATTACCAGCAATGCCACAAATTCTGACTGTATCAGGCACAAGGCTAAGCAGCCTGGTTTCAGAGCAGGGAATCTTTTTCTGACTTGCTCAGTCACTCTGGTTTTATGGGCCATATGAAGTGGCTATCTCATTGCATTTCTACCTGCCATTACACTGCATGTTCAGCGCTTATGGTTGACACTCTGACAAATATACAAGTTAGGACAGTGCACTTCAGAGGATTGAACAAAGTGGAGTCTTTCATTATCTTTGTCATACACATTGACCCGTCAGATTGCTCTCCTAGTTATGTATTTGGCTTGCTTATTTAGAATTTCTTTCCTGCACCCTCAGAAAAGTTGTGTACATGTGGGGTAACAGCAGAGCTGGTCTTAGAGGTGGGTGAGCTGGGTGGTCACCTGGGGCCACCATTTTCAAGGAGCCGCCGAAAAGTAACACAATATTGAATATATAATGGGAAAAATTGCATGAGCTTTGGCCAGATATTTTTCATGTTTTCTCGGCAGCAATTAATAAATGAAACAGGGTGCCAGGGAAGCTCGATGTGGAGTCACGGGCTGGTTTGCTCAGTTGGCAGGAAGGGCGATTTGGGATCTACCCCTGACAGACGCTGCTCCACAGAGCAAGTCTCACTCCCAGCAGCAGGGCCCGGCATCTGTCTGTCTCCCAGTCTGTCAGCAGTGTCCCTGTTACAGCAAAGCCCTTGGCACTAGGCTGTACCTTC